CTTGCTGCGTACGCCTGGACTGAGGCGTGATTTCTGTGCTGGCGACAAGTACTTCGAGATATCCGAATACACGGGACGTTCGATGACCTGTGTTTCGAGATAGAAATATGTTAGTATATATAATTAGGCATAAACTGCATTTAAATGTAGGCTTCGAAAACCGAAAATGCTTCTGAAAGGAATAAGACAAAAATAAATGGCGTGAAAATTATTGCGTGATGAAGCTCAGTTCTTAATTAAGATGTGGTTAGTCCAAGCAATGACAGATATGAAATTAAAAATACTAAAGAGACTAGCAAATCCTTGTTGATATTCAATAAACSGCGCCGTCTACATATGTTTTCAGCTTTAGGCATTCCACCAATATTTCTTGAAAATCTTTCTGAAGCAATATAACTCCAAATTCCTTACATAAATCTGTGGATGTTATGCCGAGGTGCATAAGAACTTCTTCTGTGTCTAAATAATAGTATGAACTTGTGAAACGGTCTGATGACCTTCTTCTCTGAGAACCAACTAAACCTCAGAACCCTTTCCAGTAAGACCATTTGCTCCAAGGTTATAATATTCAAGTCTTGCTAGTTGTTGAGAGCAAAGAGATATAATATGAATAGAGTTTGTGGAGAAAGTTGACGAATTGAGATGCAAATTTTATTCGCATTGCAATCCAAGGATGATATTTGAATATGTAGGTAATAACTTGATATTCGAAAACCAGAAAATCTGGGTCTCTTCATACAAAATATTGAACACTAATTACTCAAGATTTTTTTTATAAAAAAAGGCTTTTCTTCTTTGAGATCAAAAGCTAGTGCCGCCTTGAGTACGATTAAGTGAGCACAACTAGACTAGTAATTCAAAGATCATTTGATAAAAATTTGCTCCACTGTAACCAGAATTGCAACCCAACATTTTTGGTTCGTCGAGTTTTTTACTCACAGCTGTTGCGTACGAAATCTTCGTCTCCGATCATCACCAATTGCATTCTAACTAACAATCCAATTAGATATTTTGCACTGCAGGAAAAGTTCAATGCACTWCCACGYCACACCAATTAGACAAATTGCCACAYTAAATTTGCACCCAAAATACCTGTTTTCATACTCACCGACAAGTTGTCCGAGTAGTTATCGGTCGAGTCCTCATTCACGTGCCGCATATACGCCCCCGAAGCGCCATTGCAGCCAGCAGCAGAACCAGCGCCACCTCCTCTGCTGGGCGGGGCATATGATTCGGCCAACATTAGCTTCAGCCGGCTAACRGCCTCATTATATGCATRGTTCGTATAATCCATCGGTTTTGRTTTCTTGTGCGCCGCACTYTTGGACGACTTCATTGGTATGTGCCTAAATGTTTTGTGCGCAGAAAGAAAGTTGCATTAAAACTTTGCCAAAATAAATTTACTTTATCACATTTTGTTGAGCAAAAATGTTTCTCTTTTCTTTTTGTTGTGAACTTCTAACGCTTTTTCCGTCCGCATTTTTCACACCGTGTGTGGCATGCCACGCATTCTAAGCAACAACTAAAGTGTGGCGAACACAGCAAGGACTACGGAGTCCTGCCACCGTGCACATTCAGTTCGGTAGGCCGCCACAATTCCGCCCCTAAAACACCGCAAGTAAAGTTGGAATTCCCTGCTTTTCTTTCCATTTGGAAGTTGTGTTATTTTACATTGTTCTGTGTTATTTTGTTTTGTGTTCGTTCGTTGCTATGGCACTTTCTGATTGGGAAATTAACCTGTTTGAAACACATGGGTGCAATTGTGCCAGTTTTATTGTTTTGGTTTTTTCTAAGTTTGAAGCAAAAAGTGCATTTGGTGGTTGGTTTTTAGTTGCTTCTTTTAGTTTGAAGTTTTGGTTTTGGTGTGTGTTTTTTTTTGGTTGGTTGATTTGGTTACGTTTGAGTGCGTGCTGAGCGCACATTAATTCGAGTGGCTGCAATTTTGGGCAGTTCTACAAAATTATTTTCAATCCTTTTTAATGAAATTTCTACAAAGGCAGGCAGTATTTAAACTCTTTCGATTCAATTTTTCAACACTTCGCAAGAATTTGAAGACAACAAAACAAATATTGAATGAAGAAATAATTTATTGAAAAACATTAAAAGTAATGATTATGGAAAAAAAAACAAGAAAAGTGTTGTAAATATTAATTAAAAAATTTATTTAATTTAATTTTAATTTATTTAAAATTTATATGAACTGAAAAAATATAGAAAGCACTTTTCAAAAATTAATAAATAAAAAATGTATTTTATTTCTGAAACTTAATAATTAATATATACAAAATTGAAACATTACATACGATCGCCTAAAACGACTCAGATCGTCATACCGACCATTTACGTATATATATAATATATAAATATATTATTGTATATGCCATCCAAACTGAACGATCGGAATCAAGTAGTATCAAGTCTTGTATGAAAATGCTACCATAAAAATAAATGATCAGAATCAAGTTCTGAATATGTATATAAACGTACTCTTATAAATTTAATTTTAAACTCGAGGTGGTGGGAAAAATCTCTGTAAGAGCAGCACCGCTCGCATATATATGAAATAATAAATCTCCGAATCTACTCAAACTAATTTCAACAAAATTCATTCATCTTGAGACCCAGCATTCATTATTGGATAATATTCGACCGAATAGACAACGTCCAGCACGCAGTCAAGAAAATATAGCAGCTGTAGCTGGGAGTGTACACAAGGACCATGGAGAGTCGATTCGGCGCCATTCGCAGCAACTCGGACTGGCGAATGAAACGACTTGGCGCATTTTATGTCAAGATCTTAAATTGAAAGCGTACAGCTTGAGCAAAAACTGAAGCCATTCGACCCTCCCCAGTGACATCGCTTTGCCCTATGGACTCTTGAAAAGTTCCAAGAAGATCCAATGTTTTCGAGCCACATTTTGTTCAGCGATGAGACCCATTTCTGCCTTAATGGGTATGTAAACAAGCCAAATTGCCGCATTTCGGATGAAGATATTCAAGGTCTGCCATTTCATCAAGAAAGAACAACGGCTTGGTGTGGTTGGTGGGCCGGTGTAATCATCACATTTCATCAAAAATTATGTCAGTAAGAACATAACCGTCAATGGCTACCGTTGTCGCGTCATGATAACCGATTATTTGATGTCTGAAATTGAAGCTCGTGATCTCATTTTGATGAAAACAAGACGGCGCCACTTCTCATATAACGAATCAATCAATGGATTTATTGATAGAACACTTCCGTGAGCAGATAATTTAACGTTTTGGGCCGGTCGATTGGCCACCAACATCGTGTGATTAGAGCTTTTCCTGTGAGGATATGTAAAGTCTAAAGTCTAAGCGGAAATGCTCGAACGTGTCATCAAAAATTGTACTCAACGTATGGACCATCTGAGACGTAGTTGTGGCCAACATTTGAAAGAGATACCCTTAAAAAAATAAATGCCAAAAAATGATTTTTCGATTGATAATAAACACTCATTCCATAAAATTTTAAGTTTCTGTGTGTTTTCTTTAAAACAGTAGGGAACCTCGAAATGGATCACCCTATATATGTATAGCGACTATAGTTCAAGAAATTGAGACAGCTTTTTTTTTTTAATAGCAGCGTATTTTTCTGTCAAAAATTCATAATATCGACTGAAATTCTGTACTGAGAACTTAGCCCTTCCTTACTGGTTTGCTTTACATATTAACACCGAATGATATTGAGTTTTTTTAATGGAGCTCTTGGTTTCATACCTCACTTAATACTATATTTTGGTCCTCTAATACGATGTTGAGTTTCTATAACAGTCGGAATTAAGTAATCAAAAACTTTATATTCGACCGAGGATTCTAAACCCTGCAGTACTTCCCAGAGTAAATTGGGAATATACATATTTAATATGACCCCATATGTGAAAATATTTCTCAATAAATATTTTTTCAATAAAAAATTACACGTAGTTAATTCAACATATTCAACCGTTAATATTTTTGATGTGAGCTGTCTTCGATCGCCAAGCGCTACTCTTCAGCGAATCGAATGATGCCCCACATACTCAATTAAACGGGCGGTACTTGTGGTGCAACTCTACGCTAATATGTCGCGTAAAACTCTTTGCTGTAACTTTTTTTGTATATTTTTTTAATTACTATGATTTTAAGTCTTACTTTTTAGAAGTTTAAGGAAAGGAAATTCGCATTTTCATTTGTAATTTGTACCATTCATTGAAGATACGGGTATAGCACTTTGATGAAGGACTCGCATACTCTCTTGTATGAAATCAACTCGATAACTTTGCTCTTGTTGCTGCTTTTACATGTATTTTTTATGAAAAGAGAGCAGAAGCGAGCCGCGAAATGGCGCATCGAAAATGGCAAATGTTGAAAAACTCGCATGATGTAGAAACCAAGTTCACTTTTTTGAATAAATAAGGGGTTACATGGGTTTTCGGGTTTAAAAAATATCAATTTTTTGTTGCTTTATTAAAATCTCTAGAACATTGTTCTAAATTTTCAGATTGATCCGAGCAATAGTTTCGGAGATACGCCTTTAAGAACTTGTGCGCTCGAGGCTAGCTGGCTAAGTGTGCCGTTTTTAAACGCGTTTTTCTCCAAACTGTGATTTTGAAGTCCGTTGTTAAGATTGCTCGAGAACTACTTAACCGATCTTCATGAAATTTTACACAGGTCTTTGAGACACTACAATTCTTAAAGGCGTGACCAAAGGATTTTTTTCGAGATCAATTGAAGAAAAAAAATTTCCCGCAATTTTCACTGAAGTTTTAATTTTTATATTTTTTATTTTTTTTTCTTTTATTTTTTTCTAAAAATGTCTGCCACAAACTCAATTTTCAGTTTTAATTACAACACGTACTCTCTAAATTTAGATGATGCTATGAGGTGCTATCCAGCCAACGCGGGAGCATCTTTTTTCCGTGGAGTCACCGGACATGGCGTCATAATGGCSGAGTTTAAAATATTTTTTYCAAAAAATTTCAGTATTTATTTGTTAATAGCGWATGTTTGYAATAATAAAAAACTCAAATAAAATWWTTAATTTTTTATGTGTGAAAAAAATTGTTTAAAAAGGGCTGTTTTTTACCCGAAGTAATCCATGTAACCTCTTAAGTTATTCTGGAAAATGAGCGCACCGAATATTTATTAAGTGAAAGCGTTAATACATTTTCATTGACATTCCTTATTACTTGCGAAGTAATTTGTTTCTCAGTTAAGAAACGTAAATTTTAAAAGATTTCGCTTTGTTTTACTTTCTTCATGAGCCAAACTTGCAGTCTGAATATTTTTAAAAATTATTTCTTTTAACATTTTACACAGTTAATTTCCTAAAAACACATATTTTTTTTTATTGAAATTAATAGCGAGCTTGCCTTGTACGCTGCCGYTTGCCGCCGATGCGCGAACTACAAACACTATCCTTATCCGAATGGCCGCACGATGAGCGCCGCCGACGCGTAACGTGATCGCTGCTCAGCAGTTGCGAAACGTATGACTGACGTTCGCTCTGATTGAGGTTAGTTAAGGCAGTGAAGAAATTTTCCGACTTCATCTTCAGCAATGCAGTGTGGTGTAGCCGCTAACGAGGCGCGAGTATGTGGTGAACATTTAGCGTTATGCCTTGGATCGGGTGTTAGGGAGACTCGGAGCAACTTKACTTCGCAAAAAGTTTACTTGTGCTCAACTATTGTTRTTGTATGTAATATGTGGTTTAATAATTTGACATGCAATGTTGGCGCAAAACATACAAAGCTTTGCGAAATGTAACAATTGCAAAGGGGAGCGAGGCAAATGCCAACGGACGTGCACTGCCACTTCCTTCCGGTGTGTGGTGTAAATTGTTTGTCAAGAACTTTGTAGACGCGCTGCGAGACGAGACGTTGTAACTCGCTCGTTTTCACGCTGATTTGCGCGTCAAAAGTGTAAAGGCTGCGGTCATTTAACCCGTCCGATTCATTAATTGTGCTTTGTATTTGTGATATTATTAATTATTTCTGTTTGCTTGTGGTCGCTCGGGCGCGCGCGCTCAACTTCTAATTTAGACGTTTAACTGAAACGGCGACAGCGTTGGTGGGCCGCTTTTATAGCTTCGCTGTGATATGCAATGCTATGTTGTTATTGTGCGGGGGCTTCGGTTGCGATGGAACCCATACTAAAAACAAAAATGTCCTGTGTAGCGGTAATAAATAGTACACAACCGGAAAGGAACAATAAACGCAGGAGCTTTCACAAATTTTTATGGGTTTCGTGCCATGTAGTGGAAAATAAGCAAAAAACCAAATCAAACCAAACAAATAGCAGCAGAAGCTAATAACATTCCTAAGCATAATTTGAGCATTAACAAGTTGAAAGGTTGCCACTGGAGAAATGGTAAATAGAACAGTGGTGGGCAGTGCACTGGGTGGTAAAAAGAATTTAACAATTTAGAAGTACATGTAGTCAAAACTGCTCTACTAAAGTCTGTGAGGAATCCAGCTCTACTTTGCCTTCTATAACTGCAAAACGAATTCGATCATCCGTATATAGAAGAGGTTCAAGAATTAAATTTTCCGTTCGAAGAGCGAAAAATGTTTAATCCAACTTAAGAAATGCAGTCATACCGGCTCTAAAGTCGGTTAGGACTCTATGCGATTACTTATGCCTGAATATACCCGTACATGCAGTTCAAAAACTAAATTTCACCCGATCCCAAGCGACCAGCTGGAATTGAATCGTCTTACCAATTACACTGTCATATTAGACTTCGTAAACTTTTTGTTTCAAGAACAGTCATGTTTAAGTAACCCAAGTGTATACGGATCAAACTTTGTTTATCTGTCAAACCTACAACCGTTTCCGTTATGGATTTCAGCCATGGTCACTTTGCCTGTAGCATATAACTATTCAGAATCTGCCGTCAAAGTCGACATAATATGATATAAAAAGCAGGGGGAAGCAGATAAARAGCAAGACCTCCASTCCGTTGGAAAGACCAGATGGAGTAGGATCTGGCTACACTTGKGCCAAACTGCTGGAAGTATTCTTCTTTCAACTTCTTTCCAATGAGCAATCACAGCCCTGATACTGACAAGTAACTACAATACTTTCAGGGGTTCAAAGAGACCGTCGTGCTGTCTACTAAACTGGATTAGAACGTTTTTGTCTACCTCTAAAACATTTTTTTGCCCTCTAAGTGTATGAGTCTGTTTTGGTGTTCCTTAATTCACTTTACAGCTATACATTTCGTACAAAAGAAATGTTAACATTTATGAGGTATAGCACAGAACATTCCACTCAACTTATACCGTTTGTACAGGCGAACTTCTAACTGATTTAACATCGTAGAGTACAGTTTATAAAGCTTGGAGACGGCCACCATTCGACTTAAGAAGATTTCTCAGTCACACCATTCCCTTGCTTCTAAAGCAGGAAATTTTAAAAATAATCTTTCGGTATATAGACGCCACACCGCTACAGAATTCGGCTGACAGATTTGGAAGACTGCAGAAAATGTAACGAGGAAGTCATCAGAAAAACAATGGAGCATATCTTATGCACTTTTCCCCCAATAACAAGACTACGCTTTAAGCATTTGGGGCCATACGGTAGGAATCACTGGAAATATATTGTTAGTCTTACGATAGGATTTTTTCTCAGAAAGCCTGCCTACTTTTAGGCGGCTTACCACATGCACGCCACTGTTATCCCATTCCATTACAAAAAATATGCATTTATATATGTTTATGGAACCCTCTTAGACCTATTTAACCATATTTCAATGCTTCATCGCTATTAACATGCAACATTTGCGCCAATTTTCCGCTTACAAGTTTGATCAATACTTGTGGCTGAATATCATCGACAAGAACGACGAAGACCGAGCTGATGACTTTTGTCGCTTTCGACAATTTTGCTGGACTCTTTTTGTCGTTTTTTTTTTTTGTGGATTTCATTATTAGCGCTTTTGTTGCTTGTACTGTCACACTTAAGACATATTGTTTTTGCTTTTGTGTTTTTTTTTTTTTTTTATTGTAGTTAATTTTTTTCGCCCATCTGTATTTGCGTTTATTTCGTGGTAATTTGAGTGCATTAAACTTTGCTTCGTAATAACGGTACACTTGTGCCTTTTGCATGTATTTCAGTGGCATGTTCTCTTGCCTTGAGTGGCTGCCAGAAATATATGAAAAAAAAATAAAATTTCACAAACCGAAAACTATTTTTGACAAATGCGGTGCACCACAATAGAGCACAGCTGTCATAAAGGCTCGCCTTTGGTTTCACAAACACACCAGCCCACAAGGTCTGGAAGTAAGTGCTACAAATTCTATCAACTTGTCAGCAAATTGATAAAAGTATTTATCGCTGAGGAAACTTTGTTCTTGAACTCCACATTAAATTTCTCGCTTATTTTATTTACTATTATGTTAAAGTAACCAAGTGAACAATTTTCGGATGTCTTCAAGGGCTAAACTGTACAAATACAACTGAAAGGAACTATGAAGAATTGGTACCCGGTGTTTCAGTAGAGGWGRAGATTGTATTTCTGGGGAAATCCATGGGTCTAGAGGTGGAAGAGAGAGACGTGAACGAGCTCATCGAGGAGCACACCAAGGAACTGACGATTGACGAGACACAAGAGTTACAGTCACAGCAGCATACTGAGGTTATGCAAGAAATTGGTTTTGAGGAGTAGTCAAAGGAGTAGGTTATTTCTACAAGTGAGATAAAGAAGATCTTCGGAATGTGGGGAAGAGTTTCACAGTTCGTGAAAAAAAACACCCAGAAAAAGTTGCAACAGGTCGTGCATCTGAACTTTTTAATAACACTTGCCTAACTCATTCTGAGAGGGAGAAAGAAATAAATCCTTGTGGACATGTCTTTTTCTAAACGGCCTACAGGTGAAAGCGAGAAAAATTTTGCGAAAAAGGCAAAGACCAGTGAGGATATCTAATTTATTTCTTTACATTCTCTTTTTAGTTTTCGTGTAATAAATATTTGATATTTATAAAGACGTTTTTATTCAAAACCACGTAACAAAAATAACTGGGGTGGCATTTTGGAGGTTGGAACGGATTAATGGTAGTTCAATTGTTTTGTATCGGGAAATTTGCTTCGAGATACGAGTAATTCAAGATACGAGCAAGGCTGCGGAACGAATTAAACTCGTATGTCAGGTACCACTGTATTCTCTTGGGCATATCATAAATCGATATATATATATATATATATATGTACAATTTTTGCAAACCCTTTTAGGTATGTATTATAATTATCAATAAATCGGCACACGGCCCATCTGTGCTTGGTGACAGAGAGAGAAATTTACGAGACTGGAAGGGAAATGGAAGATTTTAAATAGTTGGCAAAAGAACATATGTAAATACATTTAATCTATACTAATCAATCCAATACACTGAACTTCAAACTTCAAACTCTCACTAAATCAGTCGTTCTTACTAACTCAACGATTTTGTTGATCGTATTCTTTTCTCATAAGTCCACTGTTATATTTTGTAAATAAAAACGGTATTCTCCTAAAACACGATAATTTTAAGCCACTAATAGTGCTGTAAGGATGAAGGATGGAGTCATGTGTTGAAGTTCACGCAAGTAAAGTAAGTTCTCTGAGCGCTATTCACTTGTGAATGGTCAGAAATGATTCTTTTACATATAGCGCAAGCAGCTCGCGACTTCCGGCCTTAAACCAAGTATCCTCTGGGTAGCCAAAAAACATCCGATCGAAGAAAAGACAAGTGAGAAGCCGAAACAGCCCTCCCTAGGGTTATGCGCTGGGCTTGCGGCCCGCAACGTAAAATCACCTCCAATGAAAAGAGGAAAACAACCACCGCTGTTGTAATCTCGGCTATAACCGCGTAAACGGTGTCTACGCCAATAAAGAAGAAGAAGAATATTTCTATTGTATAACTCAACAAAATAAACGAAAGAATTCTAGATTGTGAAAATCTAAAAAAATATTTTCACATACTATATAATATATGGATAAGTTGAAAAATTTAGAATAGGCATAGCATTCCCCACTGTTGGATAAACTGGATAGCCAACAGCAATCGTTTCACACATAGGCCAAAAGTTTCTTCGCAGCAGGGAAGCAGTGAAGTGTGTCACCAGAACCAAGTGAACTTATTTCTACAGTGTGCTATACCACGATCTGGACAAGAAAAATCAAAACACGTTGGAATGATATTCCCTGATGCAAAACTACAAAAGTCACGTGACAAACAGAAGATCGGAAATATACGCAGTTCCTACTGGCACTCGATRGAAGGGACTGTTGTAAGATGATTAGAAAATGTTAACAAGAAGGCACCAGCAAAATTACAAAGCACCTCTTATGCACTTGTCTCCTCACGGCAAGAATACTCTTTAAGCATTTAAAGGCCACAAGATGGGAGACACTGACATTTTGTCTCGWAAACATCAGATCTTCATGGAACAGCACATGAAGCGAAGCATTAGTGCTTGGCAAAGTCGAGCGGCTCCATTTCTTACACAAACTGTAAGAAGTCAATTTCAGGTCTTGACGTAATAATTTCGTCACAGTATCCAGTCTGT